TAATGGAATAAAAAAAGTCGAAGAAAAACGTGAAACACAGAGGTAGAAAAATGTAAATAAAGTTGAAGTAAGGTCAGCACAGATGGTGTATATAAAAATAAAAATATTTTTAACATTCCGTCTGTTATTTATCAAATGAGAAATATAGGGGAAGGTTACTATGATTGGACCACTTTGCTTTGAAAATCAATATTTCAGAAACTATAGAGTGATGGCTTTGACTAAGAAAACTATAGAAATTTTATTCTCTTAGAATTTTTTTTTCCTCCCTTCTTAAACTCTATCAACTCGAATTTTTTGAAATAATTCACATCATTTAGCTAAACAGTAAATATGAAAATACCAAAATAGCATTGAATGTTGCTATTACTTATTTCCCAAGTACTTATGTAAATTTAGAATATTTGAATAACTTAAATAATATTACGAAAATATACATGGTCTTATGCTGCGCAAATGAACTATTATTTGTTGTACAAGAAGTGTAACTTCACAAGGGAAAATAAGTTTAAGAGGATTTCATAGAATTTATAAAATTATTCAGTAGTTTAAGACTTTAGTACCCATAAAAAGTTTTAGTTTTATATATATTTAATTTTGTTTTGGACTTGATTTCATTCCGTCCTATATAAAATGTCAAGAAACTGTGGTTTAGTTGCTGATAAAACGTAGAAAATCAATACTATGTATACCTTCTTATAACAATAACAATAAAAAAAAAAAAAGGAATTCTACCAACCAATACTTGATTACTCGTTAAAATTTATGATGAGTTAAATTTAATTTGTTAATAAAAATTTATCATCCAAATATTCAGTGAACTTATTTCTTTCAATGATTATTTGCAATAAACATTCTGTCGTCAATTGCATTTTCAATCGACTCATTATTTAGAAGTTGAAGAAAATCGTATCCAATAGCTCTTAAAGTTTTAAAAGAAATAAGTTTACCACTCGAAAAATCCCTGACTCCACGTCGTTTATATTTTGCTTTCAACAACTTTAGGCAACTTAAGTAAAACACAACAGAATAAAACAAACACATTAACTTCCATATTATTACTATGGTAATAATAGTAATACATAAGTTTGAATAAAAAAAATTTAATTAACGCTTGAATAATTAGCCTTTCATGATGTGAAAACCAGATAACTGACATAGTGAATGAATAATTCATTTTCTATATTTGTTTCATCAGGTTTTTATTTTTTTCAATTAAATCATAAAGCATTGCATTAATTAAATGCTATATATTAAAAAATATCCTACATTCTAATAATCATATCAAAAATTTTCTACATCAATCAGCAAGTCAATCATCAAAAGAATCAATTGGATTCCTTCTAGATGTCATATTATTTTACCTCAGTTTTTCTTATCCAAAGCCAAATAAAACTTTACTAACCCAAGTCATCAAATGAAGTCTGGTGGTATGGTACGAAATCCTGTCGTTCAATTTCCTGCTGTTGAGATACTTTTGTTTCAAGTTGGAGTGACATTATAAAATAAAAAAACTTCTCTCTCTATATATATAGCAGACCGATAGATTTTGATACTGCCATTCATTTCTGCTGACTGGCGTTCATTTTAAATATTCAATAAAACACAATTTTGAATTATTACATGCTCAATCTCATGAATCAGCGGAAAAGTTGAAAAAAAAATTACCCAAGCCTTGTATTTATCATCCAATCACGAATATTTGAGGGCTATGTTTCACGTATTAAATATAGAATATTCATAACTCACTCCTAACGATTTTATCGCTTCACCTAAAGCCTTTAACAATGACATGCTAAGCATATTTGTTATAATTATCATTATCGACTATCGGCTATTTATTCAACAACGACCAAAATATTTAAACCCTTGTTCTAAAAGCCTTGTAACTAATCTAACATGATATAAAGTCTGGTATCTGGTTCGGCCTTTGCTGATGATGACAAGAAACTACTTGGCAATTTAATATTGCATCAAAGTGTCAGTTCAACGAACCGAACGTAAACTGAACGTAACTCGATAATGGGTTTAAATTAGAATAACCGACCTGCTATTTTACCTTTATTTCAAGAAATAGATGAAAGGTCGTCATAGAATAAATTTCTAATTTTAGTGATAAAAATTAATTAGATGGAAAATTATTCGAGCTAGATAAATATTCTTTCCTTAATGATGATCATTTAGAAGAAAAATAATTTTTAGTCGAGGATATCTATAATTCATGGGGATAAAAAGTTTTGTAAAAAACTATCCAATTGATTGTCGTTTTTATCAATAACAACTGAAGCAATGTTGTTTTATCATCTAATAAGCTTCTTAGTTGATGAGGAATGAACTTTGTCAACCTTTACATCGTTGACATTTAGTAGAATAAACGTAAATTAATGGGTTTTATTTATAGAATGAAGATGTAACGGATGGGATATTTTTCTCTGTCATATGTTTTTCAAAACACTATCATTTTAAAATGAAATATTTTTTTATGAGAAGTGTACTTATTAATTTGCATTTCAAGAATTATTTCATTCAAGTTCTTTTTTTTGTTAAAATTTTAATAAAATTTTACAGCATGAAAAAAGCTATTTGAATAAATTACCGTTGTCCTCAAGTGCTTATGATTAAACTAAACTCTATGAAATTACTTTAAATAGCTAAAGAATTATGCATGTGACATCAGCCATTTAGTTGAAAAATATTATAAAAGATATTACGTTAAAGTATTCATTCCATTTATGGCTTCTTTTTTTTTTACAACTTTCAAAACATTTTTAAATCTTCAGGAAATAAATTATAAATAAACTTAAATTTTTTAAATTAAAAATTTTATAGTTCATTAAATAATCGATAAAAGATTTTAAGTACATTGTTGTTGTTACAATGGAGTTTCCTCTTGATGACAACTCTCATTGGACCATTTTCGTTTAGCTTTTAAATTACATTGAAAATGGATTACATAGTACAAAAGTAAGTCATTAAAAAAATAAAAAATTACTAAAACGTAAAGATAAAATATGTCGAATTCCTGTTAAATACATTCCCTTATGCATTCCGAGTAATCCCGTAAGTTCAAGTTAAACAACCACTAGATTTCTCATCAGTTCATGTAGAAATTCCTGGTCTACCTTTGTCTCGTCTCATTATTATTCATCCCAAGTAATAAAATATACCCTCAAGCTTACTTTTTACTTGTTTTAACTCCACATACATCCCTTTTCCTTCCTTAGTGAACTTGTATGCATTGGGCAAAAACTTTATTACTCTCCAAGCACATAGCAATTAAACGAAAAGATGTCACTAGCTTTATTCTTATCCCTTCCACTTGTCACTAGCGTTCTCGCTTAAACTTTTTCCATTATTGAACAGATTTCTGAGTTTTCGCAAACTTTCCATTCAACAGATAATAGGAATTGGTAAAAGAATGAAAAAAAAGAATGGAAGAGTCGATTTTTTTTCCTTTTTAATTAGGCTTATTTCAATACCATCAACTTGATTGTTTTGAATTTTAACGAGTTACAATATACAAGTTGTTACTGACTTTGTTTTACCTTGGGGAATACCTTTATCTATCTACTAAAATTCCCAAAGTGGTTTTGTTACTTAAAGAATAATCTCAACATATCCATTACAGCTTTTCTCAATGCATAAGACTGTTATAAAGCTCTTGGGGAAAACCGTTAACATTGGCCAATGCTCTGAATACAACTTGAACTTAGATCTCGTGCATTACTACACTTGTATACCCACAAGACTTTCACAATATCCTCACCACCACATTTTATTGCCATTATTCCACCGAGAGATAAACGTAGCCACGTTCTGCAACCTCGCGAATGTGTTGTAAATCACTGCTACGTGAACAAGAATCTTTGAATTAGGTAGGCATATGTTACTACTCGTTTTGAAACTTTGTACCACATTCATTACAGTATAACATCTACTGTTTTATTTGCATTTTGTAATAAATCACCGTGTAGACATTTATAAGGAGAAAAACCGTTGCTTCAGCCAGACATCATGACGTAAATTTTCATTTCATGAGCATTAAAGGAGTCTTATTACTTATTGGATTATGACTGGTACGGAAATGAGGCTTTAGCTTCATGAGAAATCGGTTTGCAGAATCCGTTGTCAGTTCAATACCGATAATACAGAAGCTTATTATATAAAGGCAAACTTTAGAAATGTTAGAATGGTCTATTGGATTAGTTCGTGAGAGTTATAGAGATCATACTGTGAATGTTATTTGAAGAAACATCATCAGTGATTGTTCTATTCTATTTGATTGTATATAATCAATTGATATTAATATGTTTAGAATTTATTTGATATGATTGATTCAATAACGAAGTGGATAGAATTATTTTAATTTACAGTAAATGAAAATTTTTTGAATATTTTAAACAAATTTTAGAAAAAATTTAACAAATGGAATTTATTGTTTATTGGAGTGAATATTTATTCAAACGTTCATAATGTTTAAACATGTTCGAATTTTTACCAACGAATGTTTTTTACACTGTTGATATTTAAAAAATTTTTTCACAGATGGAAATAATCGAACTGTAAAAAATTTTATTATAAAAGTTTAAAAAATATATTTGAAATTTTTTTTATCAAAAGTAAAATGAATTTTAATTGTAATTTAAAAACTTTTGAGATTTTATTTTGACGTTAATATTAAATCAGAAGCGATTGTGATCAATTGTTTTAGTTTTGATAGTTTCAAAAAAATTTCATCATCTCTTGAATTAATTTCCAATAATATTATGTAATTAATTAAAATAGCATCCATCAAAAATAAATAATATAACTGTGGGAATAATTTTTCCACCCTTTATGAACTTTCGAATTTATTTTTAGTTTCTCAGAGAAATGTATTCTCAGAACACTTAATTTTCTATATTCACACACGACCTGTCCTAATTAAATAAATCAAGTATTACCTAATTAAAATAAATAAAAATCTCAAAATATCGCATAATAATTATTAATAAACTTACCCTTTGAGCTTTTCTTTTATCAGCACGTTGATTTTGGTGATAAATTCGACTGAAGTTACTGACAATTACAGGCACAGGCAAGGCTATTACCAATACTCCGCTGAGTGAGCATACACCACCCACTATTTTTCCCGCAATCGTTTCTGGCACCATATCACCGTATCTGGAAAGAAAAATAAATTTATCTTTTATGATTTAGTCCCATTTTCTAGATCACGTTAATTTATATTCACTATGCATCCAAGGATTATTGGTAAAATTCTATGAAAAAGTATAAGAAAAATTGGCCAAGTGGATTGTTCATATTTTATCATACAGCGAAAGGTACAAGTGTCCCAACGATTTGAATTGCCTTTGATCAATAAAAATTTTGCACATGCAACGACGTGTCTAGCAAGCCGGATAACCGATTCTCCATAATGGTGACCGATGCGACAGCACGTAGAAAAGAGAAGGCCTCCAGATGGGTTTTTTATTATTATTTTTTTTTTTAAACTTTTTTCTTTCCGTCTATTTCTAGCTCTTCAGTTCGCCATGCCTGGTTTCTTGTTCTCTACACCAGCAAGTCTATGGACTGACTTTTCTACTACAACGACAAGGGCGTATCCCACAAGTTCCACAGGGTTAACCCGGGATAAAATGACCTGGTTGCAATATTCATCTGCGCGTGACAACCTCGAAGGACGAACCCGTTGAAAAATACGTTTCCTGAAAGAATCATCGCCGGACAATTTTCCTATTTCATTTCCCCCTTGTTTTATAGTCTTACATTTTTTTTTATTTATGTTCTCATCATTTCGGAGCTTCCGCGGTCTTTTCCGCCAATTTAATACCTAGAATATGTGAGGTCACACCGGGTAAATAAATTTGAAGGGAAGTAGATGAGAGAGAAAGTAAAGCTACCAATGATGTTGAGGTTCTTACGCGGAAACACATGCTTCATTTCTCTCTTTTTTGTTTTTTGTTACCATACTACCGCTTGAAATAATTTATTTTACCGTGAACCGTTGTTATATTTTACTTTACCTTTTTACGCTCAACAAATACGAGAAAAAGCCGGTAATTTTTTATTGGACATCGTCATATTTTTTGCAGTTAATAAAACATCAAATTTTATATGAAAATGTTCTTTCTATGTTATTATTATATAAAATGCCACTAAAAGAACATAGACTAAAATTTTTATTACTGTAGTTTATTATTATAATAAAACATAGAATTAATTAATGGTGATATAAAATATTGCTCGTGGAATTTTTTTTTATATTTTTTTTCTTTGCATTAAAAAAAAATTATCCATTAATATATTTTGTTGATATCAAGTTATGCGATAATTTGATCCCTATTGAAATATCCTCCTATTGTTTCGTTTCCTTCACCTCTCCTCTTTAAATTGATTATCCAAATCTCTTACTGAAAACACCACAAACTTTTCCTTTTCTTTGCCAGTATGTCTGAGACTTGACTAAGTAGGTCAGAGGTTTTGCGTGCAATAGAATTATTCCCATCGTATTAAAGCTTCAATTAAAGATAATTAAAAGACGTCTTCGGTATAATTTAATCGAATTTCTTGTGGTGTAAATTACAGAATTAATTTAAGATCAATGCAATATCTTTAATTATAATTTATATGGAATACATTCCATTTTTTTTCGCTTGTAATTAATAAATAATAAGCTTCCTTTCATCATTTAAATTATAATCCAAACAGCTTGAATTATATGTTCATTTCTTTTTGTCATTAGCCGTAGTAATGAAAGGCAAAAAAATAAAATATAAAAATTCTTTGATGTCGAACCAAAAAGATTAAAGTGCAAAAAATAAATTGAACAGAGCGTAAAATTAAAGGAATTGTCAACCATTAACTTGTCTGCCTCCAAAGGAATGTTTAGACCTAATACAAGTCCACTCTATTACGTTTACAACATATACGTGAGACCGTTTTCTACTCAGTTGACTCTTTCTCTGGCAAGTCTAAGGTACCGGAAATAGTACAGCAATACCTTGAAATTTCATGAAGTACATCGATCCATCCATGACTCCGTTTTGCGACCTACAAAGCTTACAACCTCAAGGTAAAAAGCTCGAGGTGCTTTGATAACAGGTAGTATGCATAAAAAAATAGGATAAAGGATCTAGATCGTTTTCATAGAATCGTAAAGGTACTGTCACATGATTCAAAAAAACACACTTGCACTTTATTTTACTCTTAACAAAAAAAAAATAATAAAAGTGACTCAAATCTTTCTTTGAAGTTAAAAGCTTTTAAACTTTATACAAATCTAACAATTTTTGTGTTGTTTCATGGTAGAAAATAAAATAAAAATTATTTAGCTTTTGTCAACACTGCAGAAAGTTGTTTCATCAATTCTTAAATTTTTTGCTCAAGAGAAAACAAGTTGTGACGATGTATCAAAGTTTAAAAAAAACTTCTATTGAATTCTAATAAACAACTCGAAAGCTCTGAATTTATACCTTATATAGAGTAGATTTCACAGTAAATAAGAAATTATTTCCCACTTCTTCTTGGTCAGTTTTTCAATGAAAAAATTCTCTCTGCAAATAAAAGGATACTTTTTCTCTACTAAAACTAATCAACTAATTTTAAAATAAACATTTTTTTATACTTTTCTATAAAATTTAATTAAACTAAGAGACTTATGTAATAAGGAATAAAAAGTCCTCTATTAAATTAATATTCCATTGACTTTTGATTTTAAAGCTTCAAAAAAAAAGTTATCCTCTAGAGAGATAAATTTTTTTTATATATCATAATTTGAAAACAAAATAAAAAGTTAGGATAAGAAGGAATGATAAAATTTGATGTATAGTTCAGTAAGAGACTTGAATATATAATTCTAGTCTTGCTCACTTAATCACAAGTGTACCTGTGATACCACGAATTATTGTGCATGATGGTAAATTCCAGAGAGACATAGAATACCTGTGCCATTCCCCGGAAGGGTCGTCGCGTTGCGCGCGACTTAATTTGATAAGCGATGCTGCTCTAGGATTGCAGTAGTAGGAGTTGAGCGTGCAGATTATGTAAAACGAGCTTTCGACTGTGATTGGTCTCGTCTGAGTGAATATTTGTTCGACAATCGACGAACGTGGTTGAACGTCAAAAGCTGCTGGAAGCTTAGTTCTGTTGAGAGCTTTATGACGTTTATAATCAGCTCAAGTATAAATTATTCACATAATGTAATTTACATCGCTTTACAAGGAATTATAAATTACATTTTGAATTTGGTAAATATTGGGGTTTAAATTTCCAAGTGTTCCTTTTAAGAAAATAAAATTTAAATCAAATCAGTTGGGTTACTTTTAATGAAATCAGGAAGTATTTAATTTAATTCGAACGTTGATCAGAAACAAACTCTTGGTATGAACCAGTTTTGTATTGTAAAGAAAATTCTCATCAGGTCAAATGAATCCGATGTAATTTTCTGTATAATTAGAACTCTAATGTTAATTTCAATTTTATTGTTAAACTTTATTGTGTAGCAAACTTAATTATTTAATTCTTACTCTTACGTTAAGTTTCACTTTACTACCAGAGCTCTAACATCATCATTAAATTTTATTACCAACCTCTATTTCTTTTTTTATTATTCTCTAAAAAATTTTTTTTTATAAAAATTACTTCAAATCACAATTTTTATTTTTTTTAACATCTTGGATTAAAACAACTCCTCTACCTATCATCATATGAAAGAAACAATTCTAGAACACAGTCACTTTAATAAAAAAGAATATGTTAATACATTGTGATGGTAACATAAATTTTCTAAATAAAAAATATTTTATTTTCAAGTATGAATAAAACATGCTTTCTGTAAAGCGAAACATTTTTTTTTTTTTTTTAATTTTATCTCGCCTACTATACAATCACTAAACACAGCAGTTTACTTGAATAGAAAAAACAATAGCATAGAGAACATTAAAAAAGCCCACGAGAAAAAATAGGAAATACAACAACTGAAACATAAATTTTCTCTCATTAACACCTTTTTCATAATTCTAGTTATTAATTACTTGGCTTGCTCGTTAAACATCACATTGGATTTATGTTTCATGTCTCCCGCAAAGGCTTTCCCTTTGCAAATAAGAGAACGATGAGCACACACATTTATTTAGAAACCTTCAGGGAGTGTCAGTGGATCTAAAAGAGAAGCTAATATACAACTCTTGCTTTCCATCATCTTCGCGCTCTTGTGAATTCCTTCATTCCTTGTGCAGCTCACTAGTGTATTGCTACTATATCATTCCAGTTAATAATAATATCATTGAGAACTTGCCAGGTAGATTATGCATGCAAGACCTCGTAAAGATACTGTTCCTTTGTCTTATCTCTGAGCTACATGCAACCGGAAGTCAAAGAACGTCGTCATCCACAAGGGCATGAACATGCGAAGGCCATTTTGTTGGATTTGAGACTAGATTAAAAACATCTCACGAGTCATAAACGATCGTTTTCACACCTTTATAAGCTCAGGAACTCTTGGTGGTATTAAAAGACTTTTTAAGACTCTTGAGATTTCTTTGAAGATCTATTTGTGCAAACAGATCAAACGATGACTTAATTACACATATCCCATACTAGAATAAACTACTTAATACAATTCTATCAAATGACTAATTGACTTTTTAATTAATCAACAAATTTCTTTTCTCTAATTCATTTTTGTATTTAACTCAAATTCACTTATTCGTGGTAATCATCTTGATTTATTAATCTGTTGGAATTTAAAAAATTAATTAAAAAGATTAAATGGAAAAGAGTGTAAATACAAAAATTTCTTAATGTACTTGATAGCAGAAAAATCTCGAAATTTATGTGAGCTTCTTTTCTAATTCCTTTCAAGGGAAAGTAGAAAAAACGTACTTTTAAGCTTTTCTTTGTACTACTATGAGCCTTGATCGCACCACTGAACAAGAGGAGGCCACAGTAATGCGCGAAAATGCCAAGAGGGATGAAATGTTGTGGAGGCGCGAAAAAAACACTGAAATTACGAACTCGAGAAAAAACAGCAATCTCTGAACCCGAAAGCCGCTTTATGTCGATTATGAGAGCACGATTTAACTTGTGTTTTTTTTCTCTCTCTTTCCTTTCTGATATTTGCTCCTTATTTTTTCACTAAGACCAGTTTTATATTGAATCCT